GCTTTGGTAGGTCATTTGTTGATGTTTCCATCTCGGCCGCTGTGCACAATCACATGCATCGCGTTCTGTGGATTTGTTGGGCGTTTAAGATGAATTGGTCCTTAACCCTCGTCTGTAATTAAGCTGCAACAGATCACGGCCGGTTCAAGTAAAGTGTTCCGTCCGTGGTTCTATGGGAACGGCCAAGTCCTGTCGCCTTTTTCGTTTCAAGTCGTTTTAAGTCCTCCTGTCTACCCGTGCCTGTCTTTTCGCTACTATTTGACAGTGTTGTGCGGATAACAGGCGTCATAGTGGTGTCATCACCCCGGAACTTAATTGGCTTGTCCGTGTACATGCGTGTTCACAAGTGCCCTGCCTCACCGCACTGCGGGTGGCCTGTTTCAGAGTATGCCTACGGCGGTCATCCGTTCCCTTTCTCCGGCATCTTCACCATCCGGCCGAGAGACGCCGACGACCTGGGCGAGCAATTCAAGTTCAAGTAGGTGACCGTGTCGGCGCTGGACCGGGTGTGACTGAGCGAGTGATGGGTGGTGGGTGGCCGGTGTGTCAACGGAACCGGGAGTTGGCAGTGGACGAATCGAGCGCTGCCAGCGGATGGAAAGGTGTGAAGTGGTGCCAGCTAGGGGACTGGGAGCGTGGGACGGCGTGCCTCTCACACCGGTGATGTATGTTACGCTATTGCTCTGACGTCTGGTGGTTATCGTCGGTGATGTGATCTGGAGCGTGCTTCCGTCGACACACGGCGGACCGGAGTCCCGGAACAAGTTCGACCTGAAACGCGACGTTGATGTCGCCGCGCTTTTGAAGTCAGAGGCCGTGAGCCTAAATGGTGCGTTTGACTTGGCCATGGTCCGTGGTTTCCTCTGCCAAAAGCCTGGCACGGTCGACATACTTCGCGTCACTGGTGGTGACGCTCCAAAAAGCCGGTAGTTAAGCCACGTTCAAGTTTTTTTTGCGTCACAGATGTCACCATGGGGTTAATGTCAAGCCTACGGTGGGCGACACGTGTCCGTCCCCCTCGCCCTCCACTTCCTTTCACTGCCTTGTTCCCACGTCCACGCGCGACGTGACCAAGTTGTCGTCCTTTGTACATCAGCAAACGTGTCGTTTGCTATGTTTTGACCTCTTCTTGACGATACGTGGTACGCTTTGTCTGCTTTTTTAAATGACGCAGTGGACGAAATGAGAGTGCGTGCCTTTCCGACTAGGATTCGTGAGCATGCCATGAGCATACGACAATGATCCCTCCAGCTACACCCTCGCACATTCGGCGTCTGTTCCAGACAATCCATCCACTTGGGCTACACGGACTTCACTCGGGAAGACTTGGACCGGATCATCGAGGAAATGGGGAAGGACTTCAGGGGCGAGCGGTATCATCTAATCAACAAGAACTGCAATCATTTCACCTCTAACCTGGCCCAGGTGAGCGATGACTTCGTCTGTGTCCAGTCCACCCGCCGCGCAACAGACGGCTGCGGACGCGCAGATTGTCTTCCCGAATAATTATCGACGACGTTTTGCCTCGCCTTCGTAACATGTTAGCAATATATGTTGTGAAGCAAAATAGAAGCTTCTGATGCTCAACCAAGTGATAGAAGCCCTGCAGGTTGCGGAATAAATATGTTGGTTTGCTTGCTCCGGGTCGTGGTGTCGTATCCGCCACTGTGAACATAGCTCATAGGCAGAGTTGTTCGGCCTTTATTTCTCCAGCCCTGTTCTACTTCCCCAGGTTGAATCAAATTTTCGTTTTCAAGTATGCGATATGTCGCGAGACCTCCAACGCATGCTTGACGCAGCACCGGCATGATATTTGTGAGCGTGATTTTGACACTAAACTAGAATGGCCTCATAAAGTATGTGATGATGATGATTTGGGGTTTTAGGGCGCATCGACTGCTAAAGGTCATGCAGCGCCCAGCCTCATAAAGTATGATGCAGACCAGTGCAGCATACATACATAGGGCATATGAAAGTCGTATTATCCGTTAGTGCGCTGCATTTTTTAGTTCTTCCAGACCTGCCATAGATCTGAAGCGTATATCAATAAATTCGGCATGATAGGCGTAAAACTGTGTAGGTATCCCGTGAGGAAGTGGCAACTTGGTCACTTTGACACTGCCGAGTCTGTGCACGTGTCATTAACTGGATGAGACCTTCTACGTCATTCTGTAAGGAGGAGCTGTATTCAGAAGTACTTTGCCGCTGCCGCGGGAATGCTTCAATATGCCATCTCTATAACTGTTGCCATCCTTGATATTTTTATATAACTGTTTCCAGTGACTTCCCTTCGAATTGTTAAGTTGTACCGACCATTCCCCATTTGAATCGTCGCAGCTCGCTTCAAATCAGGTGGGTCGTCTTCAACGACTGCCGCAGGTGCATGCGTGGATACAGGAGCCCGTTGATTTCTGCCTCGGAACCAAGCCTCTGTCATCAAGTCTGCGTGTGTTTTTTATTTGGTTGTCGGTCGACCAGCCCTCAACATCTTCCGTTGGTGGGCCGTGGCCGCCACATCTCTTCATTTTTGTCGGCGGGCCCGTCGTCTGACGCTCGTCTTTGCGCTCGTCGGCGTCCCGGCCAGTCATCCCAGGGCCGTGTGGACGTCGGTCTGCCAGTCCACCATGGCCGTCTCACGTGCCTGCCGGTCTGAACACCGGACCACAGCGTCTCTCCGCCTGAACCCCCTGTGACGTCCCGCTTTCCCGGCCGACAGCTGCTGGTGGGCCGCGAGATCCCCTCCTGGGTGAACCGGCTGGCCTCGGTCAGCGCCATGGTGCCCTTCCTGGAGCGCTGCCTGCCCAAGGAGTGGCTGACGCCGGTGGCGCTGCAGCACTCGCTGGAGGAGCAGGTGACGGGCGACGCCGCCCCCGGCAACGCACCGCCCCCGCCGGCCTCCTCCACCTCGCGCGCCTCCTCCATGAACTCGATATAGCGCCGCCGCCCGCCAGCCGCGCGGTGGACACGTGGGACGCGGCCCCGGGCCTCGCTCGCTGGCCGCGATGCGAGCAGCCGGCGGGGCGGAGCGGTCGGGACGCTTGGCGAAGCGGTCTGGCCGTGTGGTCCCGCGTGCGGGTGCGGAGGCCGCAGGAGCGCGGCGCTGGAGAGGCGCGGGCCCGGACGTTCCGTTTGCGAGGCGTACAGCGTTGCGATGTCGTGACTGGAGGTGGTGGCCGCGGATGTCGCGGCCGCTGTTGATGCCGCGAAGGTCCAATCTCAATGCCAAATTCGTGAACCCTGCCACCACCGAGGCGTCGAACTTCACTCGGCTTTGAACAGCGTGACACAGACTGACATACGTATGCGCGCGTGTGTGTGTGTGCGTGCGTGTTCACTCGGTTTTGAACAGCGTGGTTCAGATGGACATGCGTGTGTGTATGTGTGCGTGTGCGCGTGCGTGTGCGTGTGTTTCAGTCTAACTAACCGGTCCTTCGAAGCGGGGAGGGGCGCGGGTGCCGTCGTCGTGTCGACGCGCGGCGAATAGGACGGGTCTGTCCGTATCGTGACGCTTGTCTGACCTCACTGGGACGCCCATCTGACGTCACTGGGATCGAGGGCTTGGGAGGACGCTCGCTGTGGTGAACAGTCGGCTCACCCCGGTTGGGCCGGAACGCGCGGTGAGTGAGAGTGTCCTGAGCTGAAGTGGGGTGGAGGAGCTGGGAGGCAGTTGTCGGCGCCGTAGGTCGCTGGGAGGCGCGGGCGGCGGAGTGAAAGTGCGGACCGGGTCGTGGGAAGCGGAATGGATGACGACGTTCCCGGCGGACAGTGCGTCGTCGTTGTTGACTGGACTGGAGTCTGGGAGGGTCTGACGCGTCGGGGCAGCCATCACGCAACGGACTCGCGTCGGCGTGTGGCCGTCAACACTGTTTCTCTGGATAGTCATCAGAACGGCCGCCGTCGGGATGAGGTATAAATCGCCGATCTTTGAACGTGCGGGAATGCCTTCACATAGAACTGGATCCACGTCATCCCTACAGAAATCGTGCAAATATGGGATAAGGTATGGGGAACTTTGCCCCAGCCGTGCAGATTCGCTTAGAGGGTTTGCAACGAAAGTTTCACGGTCAGCGATTGATTGGGCTACTCATGAACCGAACATCACAATTCGAAGCTGTTATCTCCCATGACCTTTGCTGTAATTGTGTTGTTAAAGACGGTGACGACACATGTACTGGTCAGGTAAACGTACCCGCTGCATCGCATTTTGTTGTAACCACTCGCTCGTTTAAACAGGAGGGTTGTTAACGGGCACCTCCGCACTCTGGTTTGTTGTGTGACGTGGAGTATATTTGTAACAGATTCTCGTGATATGCCCACTTCTTGGCATTATTTAACCGGTGTCCATTTTTTCAAACGAACCATAGCTGTTGAGAAAATATATATGCTTTGTGTTCGTTTGCTACGTACTTCTGCGTGCGGGCCGTTCTTATCGTGTGAACATGTGTATTACATAATACGAGTTGTTGCATTGTTGAACAATACTCTGTTGCATGTTGGGCGACAAGCAATGAAATACACAACAGTGCAATTGGATATTGAAGTTTTGAACGGCATAATGCTACGCTCAGATGTGGTTGCAAATAATAGCTAAATATTGAGAGTACCTCGTAAACCTTAAAACCGTACTTGGCTTCCATTATGACAAGGGTCATTCCATGATTGGTCTCGCATGCCTGGTCTATGAAGTGCTGAACGGATGGTACTTTTTGAGACGTTGTGCTTACCATAGTGTAACAAAGGAGATGGAGAAGCATCCAACGTGACTTGTGCATAACCAGAGAGGGGGAGAGGAATTCAAAAGTGGTCAAGAATGCACGACGTGGGTTTCGAACGACCACCGTATCTTGTGGATAGTTTATTAATTTTTGTTATTTTGACCACATGAAATGTTGCCAATGAAAAAAGGAGCTAAAAATAAGGAAGGCGTGATGACATCTTTCGCTTTATGAAAAATCAGCGCGAGAGGTGGCTAAAGAGGGCGAAAAACCATCAGTTCAGTTTACGTAAGCAGCCTTGCATTAGTTTAGCACATCAAAACCTAGATTCAGCCTTGATTTTTGGTTACAAAACCGACGGGCAAATTGCGTTGGTAACTCGCGGGATGTCGGGATTCCGTTGATTAATGGTGTTTGTGCTGGTGGATATGTGTGGGTTCGATGATAATAATCCTCAATATTGATTTGTGGAGCCAATACCGGCACATGATATTGAGAGGGATAGTTCTCCATAGCGGAAAGTTTCGATGTACCACGGTGCAAAACTGACACGATTCGATTTCCTATAATGGAAAGAGCTTGGAAGGAGAGTCAAGCAGTGCATACTGAAGCACAGTGACAAGTGAGCCTGCCAGGTGTAAGCAAATGCCAGAGATTTTTGTCTCTGGAGAAGGAAGGGAAAACAGAACTGTGCAGTGTAGAAATGCAGGTGAAGCATTGTGTGACGTGGTAGACACATGTGATCTGCAAGCTTTGTCGTCCCTCCTGAAGCTCAACCCAATCACCTCCAACAATCCCAGGGACAGGCTAGTAACATCTGGACCACTATGCTGCCAGCATGACTGGTCGTCCTCGCACAACTTCAATGTTAGAAGAGGGCCGGCAACAGCCCCAAACTCAAAATGCAAATTGGGCGAGCATTAAAATCACAAGTAAGTCCCTGAAATTGTTGTTTAACTGTTTGTGGTGACACAATGCTTAAATTTTGTCATGTGGCTTATAACAATGTTTCAGGTTACTTATATATCTCCAAGTATTTGTATGTGCTATGGGCATCTGTAATATGTTAGTGCATGCTTCACTGTCTGCACTCATATAAACATAATTGCAGTCTGAGCAGGCCTTGTACTGCCTATAATTTTTTTCGACTGATTACGATGTCTTGAGGTGTATAGATGGCAGCTGCATAATCATATATGACAGAACATTGCAAAAATATAACTTTTTTGCTTCATGGCTTAGCTTATGGCACATATAGCAGTTCATGTAATACCCATATGCCACTGGTGTATGCTATCCATGAAACATGGACCAGCAAGTGGTAGGACAGTGTATTGAGCATTACTGTGGTGGAATGGAAGTAAGTGTTGATGTACCTTTATGACAAAACATCAGTGGAACATTCCAGCTATTTTAGTGTCATGAGAAATGTAGCAACCACTTTGTTCCTATCATATCTGAGCAATGTGCAAGCAGCAAAATGTGGGTTCTCATTAGCTTTGAAGCATTGATTTTGCATGGCCAAAATATTTTGATTTTAGTCTTGGTGTTCACCTCAAGAAACCTGTTTTTCTTTGCTCCTCTGTGATACCCTGTGATAGGGCAGGGGAGTGAGAGAGAAAAAGATGCATGTGTATATTGTAGTGGAGTGAAGGAAATTGTCCCAGGTTGGATTTGAGTTTGTGGTGGTGGTGTGGAGCTTAGAGACACATTGAGTTGTTTCTTTTCATGCAGTTGTCATAAACTTGGTACTAAATTTCCCCAAATGTTTCAGGGAGCATGGACCCCCTCCCCTCAAAGTCTCATTCCTGAAACAGAATAGTTCCTGCACCTACGCACATACCTGGTTGATACTCACCTTGTGCATTGGCAACCTTACCATATGTGTATGCTAGAGATTTTGCATAAAAGATTGTGTGCGTGTCAATTTTTCAAGGCTGGATGAAATCAGTTCTGATTGTGTCTTGAATCATGTGGATCAAGCCTCCATTTGATTAATCAAGCATTCACCAGAACCGAATTCAAATGCGACTGAGACCAGCTTGGAAAAATCTGGAATGGAAGTAGATTCCGCTGGCATCGAGCACAACTCAGCAGACCAAAGTGTGAGCAGTCACATTAGCCATTTTTCAGTGGTGCCAGACATGCTCTAAAAGAATGACAGTAGCTGGTGCGGTGGTCTGGAGCATGGAAGCGGGTCGTGACCACAGTACAAAAACATGGACTACCGCGCTGAGACAAATGAAAGTGGCTTGTTCGCAAAAGCGGTCAGGAGCGGCACGTCATTTACATCTCCAAAAACACAAATGCTTACGAACAGTTTTATGTCTCACCGTCCGGCCCGCAGGGTTGGCTCCACGAGCTCAAAACACTTTTCACGATGTGATATTCCAGCTTCCGCAGATTAGAGCTGGTTCGATTCACAGAACGTCACCAGTTACAGGTGTGGGGTCACACGAGTGCATTGGGTCTTGGTGTCATCTCATGGTATTGGGTGTCGCTCAGCACGGTTTCGATTCGAACTGCACCCGTCCATGCTGCTTGTCGTCTGGATCATTTGGCCAGGTGGCCGGACCTGAGCAGGATCAGACTGCCGGACCTGAGCGGGATCGTACTGCCCGACCTGAGCAGGATCAGACTGCCGGACCTGAGCAGGATCGGACTGCCCGACCTGAGCGGGATCGGACTGCCGGACCTGAGCAGGATCGGACTGCCCGACCTGAGCGGGATCGGACTGCCGGACCTGAGCAGGATCGGACTGCCGGACCTGAGCAGGATCGGACTGCCCGACCTGAGCAGGATCGGACCGCCCGACCTGAGCAGGATCGGACTGCCGGACCTGAGCAGGATCGGGCTGCCGGACCTGAGTAGTATCGGACTGCCCGACCTGAGCAGGATCGGACCGCAGGACCTGAGCAGGATCGGACTGCCCGACCTGAGCAGGGAAACAGTTAGGCTGCGTCACCATTATCTCTTGGTAATGCTAATCTGGTTGACGGAGGAAGCAGGAAGGGATGTCTATCTCGCGCATCTGATTGTTTTTTTCTCAGCTCAGGCTACCGTTGCAACATATAGGCAGCATCAACTATAAAGTAGGTGAAGTCATAGAAGCTTGCAGTACGGTTTGCGACAGAAATCAAGCAATTCCCCGCGTACTCAGCGCAAAATTGGATAGTCAGTACCGATGGGGTACAATTCTGTTCTCAGGGAAGGACTAGTAAAATCCGACCACTCTGTGCGTGAAGATGGCTGGCTGCGCGACGCTGGTGTTAATCAACGTCAAATGCGTACGCTGTGTACGCTGTGGCTAATCTCCGGAGCCGCGGCATATCGCTCAACCCATATGTGATGTATCACTTAGCAAGTTTCATAACGGTTCCTCAAACGCTGCTGAGCCCAAACAGGAAGCCCAGATGCCCATTTGTACAAGGTATAGACGTTTTGCGCGCTTCTACAGTGATGGTCCTAAAACGTCATACGGTACAGAATCCGCGTCGTCTCTGGGCAGCGAGCGGATGTCACTGCCCCGTTCGGCCTCCGTTTCTACTGCTGAACTGTTCGCCAGCACGCGCTGCCTTGACTGTCATAGCTTCAACAATCCACAGTGTACCGCTGAACTGTTCGCCAGCACGCGCTGCTTTGACTGTGTCTTACAGCTTCAACAGTCCACAGTCTACCGCTGAACTGTTCGCCAGCACGTGCTGCTTTGACTGTGTCTCACAGCTTCAACGGTCCACAGTCTACCGCTGAACTGTTCGCCAGCACGCGCTGCTTTGACTGTGTCTCACAGCTTCAACAGTCCACAGTCTACTGCTGAACTGTTCGCCAGCACGCGCTGCTTTGACTGTGCCTCACAGCTTCAACAGTCCACATTCTACTGCTGAACTGTTCGCCAGCACGCGCTGCTTTGACTGTGTCTCACAGCTTCAACAGTCCACAGTCTTTACTAATTCACTCGGCTCCGTTGTAGCGATTGAGAACGCCCATACGCCGAACACGCATTTAGCACCGCTGACCGCAAGAAAACTCGCTGAGCTGGGAGGAAATGGAAGGCACTTAGCGCTGACCAGGATCCCGAGCCACGTGGGGCTGTAAAGCAACGGGTCGGCAGACCAGGCGGCCAAATCTGCCATGCTTCCTATACCGGGCATTGCGCTGCTAATCCCTGCAAACGGCATGTACTTGAAAGGGAATGAGTATATGCGTGCCAAATAGCAAGCCAGGTGGAGCGAGGAGCACTATTCAGAGAAGCTGAAAGCTATCAAACCATTCATAGGCTCCGGGGTGTCATCATTTCTGAAATCACGTAAAGAAGGGGTAACATTTACACGCCTACGCATTGGCCATGCTTACAGCAGGCACACATTTCGGTAAACAACGCGCAACAATTTCCCTCATGCAACGGATGCGGCGAAAGGCTGACTGTCGCCAATGTCTTGGTCCACTGTCGGCAGCTGCCTGCCGAGAGGCAGAAATCCTTCGGTGGCCGTAGGCCGTTGACGTCATTAATCAGAGAGCATTCCGAAATATTGCGTCATCAATTGCTTAAGTTTTTACGCGCTACTGGTCTGCATGTCATGCTCGCCTTTTTAGCAGTATTACACTGAGGAAGTAGTGGGTTCAGTCACGAGATGTCCTCAGTAGCCGATGCGCTCACGAAACCCGCGAACATCCTCGTCAGTCGTGGAAGCTTCCAAAATGACTGATTACGTCATATTATAACAATAATAATAATGATTATTATTATTATCAACTGTTAGTATTATTGTTTTTATGGCCACTATGATTATTATGATTATGGTTATTATTATTATTATTATTTTTATTATTATTATTATTATTATTATTATTATTATTACTATTGCTGTTGTTGTTGTTGGATACCGTACACAGGTAGGGCGACCCTCACGAATTTTGTGATGAAAGATTATGAGTGGCACGTTAGCTACTAGAATTATTTTTTTTATTTTTCGGCTGTGGGCTGAGTGATGAAATCGAAAACAACCCGGAGAAGAGCATGAGTTAAAATCCTGGCAAATGCATGTGTGGATTATTTATGTTCGTTACCTCGACAAGCAGCCAAGGGGCGGATGGTGTCTAGACATATGTTCTTGAGGTGGGGGGGGGGGGGGGGTAAAGCGTCGCGGTGTGTAGCACGGGAAAAGAGCATACAGTGTTCGGAAAATTCGCGGCGTATTATGTGTATGGGCATCATAAATGACAGACGGATCGCTTGATGTTTCTCGTATGGGACGCGCTGGTTCTCCCGCTAATTCGGATTATCGACTGCCGAACCTTCAATAAGCGGCCGGTATTTGTCGTTGCAAGGACTCGCCATGTTCCCACAATCCGGGAACGGTCGTACTGAGTTCTTGCAAAACTTGGGCAAGATTTCACAACCACAGTCCTTGCACATGCTTAAGATAACCCAAATGGGTTGATACGGCATGCCTTATTGTATTACTCCAGCATTGATTGACAAGTCATCGATGTGCGTTGCGCTTTATAAGGGTGGCTTACGGACTCTAGGCCTCAATGGCTCAGAAGGATGAAGCTAAAGACACAGGTTTGGACTGGATTAGTACAGGGTCCAGCATTTAGCCGGCTCAATGTTGCAATAAAAAATGGCATGTTTGACAGTCACTTGATCAGGGACATCGCCGGTGGGTTAAAGATACAGGTTGGATATGTGAAGACCGAGCAATGACGCGGTCATGTAGTTAATTACAGCACATCATCGGATTGATTTTAAAGACTGACAAATGTAACTGCGTCGTTCTTTCGAGAATGTTCGGTGCACGCGTGTCATGTTAGAATATGGTCTTGTTATGGCAGCTGCACTGACGTGTAAATCTCGCGCTCCAATCCCGGTTCCACGATGGCCTATAGGCTGCAATATGGTCACCTTAGTCGGTGACACTCTGCAATAGCA